CCTAGCTACTTGGGAGGCTGAGGCAGGAGGATCACTTGAGTCCAGGCATTCAAGATCAGCTTGGAGAACATAGCAAGATGTTATTTTAAAAAAAAAAAAAAAAAAAAAAAAAAAAGATGGACTTTTCATGAATAAATAACCCTCACAAATATGAAATAAAGGAACTGAACAGTGAAAACGTGTTTCAGTACAACATATAAACACATTTGGCACATAAAGTTTCATATAATGCAACCCTTACTGTCCCTGACCAAGGAGAATAGGAGTGCTTTGCAGTGAGTACAACTGGTGGAGGCAGGGTGTGGGGAGTCATCCTTTGCAATGACTGAAGTGTGAGTCATCCTTCTGCATCATTTTCATGACCAGGTTTTCAGCTTTTGGGGAGACTGCACTCAGATTGAACTTAAAAACAGGTGTAAGAAAAGAAAGCATCCTAGGGTAATATAAATTAGGAGAGCACTTCCAAGCCGCAGTGCTGGGAGCTGTGTAGCAGGATGGAGGGATACGAGGACCCAGACGCCACCCACCTGGTCACTTGGCTTAGGGGCACGAGGCAGAAGCACACTGGATTCGTGCAAGTGGGGCACACAATATCAAGTTTGCCATAGCCTATGAATGTAAACAGCTGGTTGAGTAAACTACTGTTTATTTGCCTGAAATTGTATATCAAAACATCACCACTTAAGTAGTGTGTTTTTGGATGGGTTGTTATACAAAAAAATGTCTGAAAGGTGGCCTGGTTTTCCAGAACTGCATGCAGTGGGGTAATTACTACCCGTGCTGTGCTGGGCCCGCTCAGTCTGCAGCACGAGGGACTCTGCTGTTCCTGTGGGAGTGCAGTCTTTGATAGAGCTATGACTTCTTTGCAAATATTGGCAAAATGTTTCAGTTGTACGTTAAATAATAAAACTAGTCTTTCTGATATTTGGAAAGACCAAAAAAATCCTATCACTAGTGGCTTAGGATGGAAGATGTGTGCTTATAATCTGTAATTGATGGCAATGGCTTGTGTTGGGGAACTTGATTACATGTCTCTCATACTCAGATTATTGTACCATCAGTTTAAAAATCATTTAAAAAATTGCCTGGGAAGGTTAAAAAAAAATACATTTGATTGAAGCCATATTCCCAACTGACCTGTGATCAAAAGCTTCAGCTGCAATTACCAAGTGAGTTGTAGTTGTTTTTACTATCTGTAAAAATCTAGTTATGGCAGCCTGTTTTTCAGACACTATTTTGATAGCTCTCCAAGTCATGACTCACATATAATTAGCAAAGACAAGACTTTAACATGGAAAATAAGCCTCATTTTTCATATCTAACTTTTGGCTTGTAATGGGCTAGCTTACTTGAGAGTCCTGTCCTGGTGCAGTTTACTTATCACAGAACCATTTACTTATATGGAATCCTTTCTTGGTCAAGAGGTTGCCATTTTATTTGCAAAGAGGGTGATTAAGAGTAAACTTTGACATAGCACGTGCTGGCAGGTGTGGGAGGAATTCCAAAGCTGAGGTGCCAGGGTATGGCAATAGGCACTCACTTTGGAAAACAGCTCACAGCTACTGCAGGTAAACACGCGTGTACTGTGCCCCACCTGGTTCACTGTGGAAATTGGTTACCACTATGTAGCCCAGGCTGGTCTCGAACTCACAGCAATCCTCCTGCCTCAGCCTCCTGAGTGTTGGGATTACAGGTGTGCGCCACCATGCCCAGCTAAAAGGATTGCATTTGCATTGAAACACTTGTTTTCTTAAAAAAGTGAAAAAGTACTTCATTTTGCTAAATTTTCATATTACACAGTTAAGGGAATAGTTCATACTAAAATGTAAATTGTTTCATATTTGTTAACTTAGAATCTTATGCTGGCTTGTGTTTTTTATAACCCATTTAAATGCATATAAAATTTTAAAAATACAAATAAATTACACAAAATGAATTATTCACTTTGAAATAAGATGAAATCTATATACTATGATTTATATTAAATTTATTACTGTTTATATATATATATATATATATACATATACATATATAGACACACACACAACACCTTCATTACTGTGATGTGACATATATTAAATTTGGTAGATTGAAAAACACATGTGGGGTCAGGTATTTAGCTCAGTGGTTCCACCAGCTGCCTCGCAAGCACTAGGACCCAAGTTCGATCCCCAGTTCCAAAAAAGAAAGAAGAGAAAAACACATGTGCCACATAAAAAGAGAGTATAAATGAATATTGACAAAATCTGTTTTAGTTTAAGTGGATATAAAATATCTTTATATAAGTAGCAGTGGATGGAATGGTTCAATTTCTCTCCTGCACCTTTTCATTGTTATTCTAAGCATTGGTGGGAAAGAGTCCAGAAAAGTTTGGGGATTGTTTTTTCTTAAAGTTGTAAAATCATTAATACAAATCTAATGATTTGTTGAATGGATGCTGTTTTTTTCCTAGTCAAAAAGAGTGTTTAAGAAGTAAAGGTTCTGAAGGTTTAATGCCTTTGGGGTCTTCTTTCCTGCACTCAAACTCAGTTGTCACCTTGGAAGGCAAGGGCTGCATATGGAAAATGGGTTCCTGCAGTCTGTGTCAAAAAGCCTTTTTGCCAAAAAAGCTTCAACGTACACATGGTCTCCCGACAGCCATCATCAACATCACCATGGCTGATGGTCCAAGACCACCCAACAACAGTACTCCTGTGTGGTGTCAGGAGGTCAGAAGAGCCGGCTGTCACTGCGTCATCTCATGTCCTCACAACAGCTCTGAACAGAGCACGAAGGTGGCACCTGCAGCTCCTCCCATACCTCATTCCCACTGGCACCTTAATCAGGACTTTCCATCTCCGGGATTCCAAGAACTCCAGTACAGACTGCAGGAGAACGCCATGTGCAGAAGGACCCCTCTGAGGCTACATGTTCCAAAACCCACCTGGAGACTTTCATATCCTGGGCCATTTTTGCCTATGTGCTGGAGGAAGAGTAATACATTCATGACAGTTACTTTAAAGAGGAAAGGAATGCTGGGATTTAGTGCAGTGGCACCACTAGTGCCTGCCTCACAAGCTCAAGGTCCTGAGTTTGATCCCTGGTACCAAAAAAAAAAAAGAGGAAAGAAAAGAAAGACCTCTGTCATGGAGACTGGGAAATCTCAGTAGGTGGAAATTAGTAACCTTTTATGGGTGCTAAAGTAGAAATAGTCTTTCAGTCACTTGGACTTTTCTTCCAGACGTCTTTTGATAGGATGAACACTTTCCTTTCAAATGGAAATTTCTCTATCTCTTTGAAATATCTGGGTTTCTGTTTGGCTTTGTGGGGCGCGGTGTCAGCCAGGACCATATTTGTGCAAGGCAGATGTGCTGTCACAGAGTGACATTCACAGCCCAAAATACTGAGTTTCAGAAGAAATCTTGCTCCACAGTGCTCCCTCAGGAGTTGTAGACAAACAGAATTTATTCCAGGTAAAACTGTGGAACAAGTTATGATTCCATTTTTCTAGAGTCGAGTGTGCCCAAATAGTGTAAAAGTTTATTAGAAGCATAGAAGCCAAGGTAACAGAGACTGCAACTGACTGTTATGAACAGTAGGAGGATTGAGAGCGGTGGAAGGTAAAGGGATCCTGAGAATATGTGTGAAATTGTGGTTAGGAAGTGGGGTTCCAAGGAGTGACTCTGGCCTCCAAGGTCAGAAGTAAAAGGTTTGGGGAAAGGCAAACTCAGAATAGAGCTCTGCCACTTTCCCTCGCTGCTCCTTGGTGCGCTCTTTGTCCTTCTCCGTGGCTCCACACCAGGTGTGGCCTTGTCTGGAAGAACACACAGCCCAGTGCAGGACCCAGAATGTGTGTAGCAGGGCTCAGTGACTGCTGTGCCATGTAAGGGCCGGGAGCACAGACTCTCACTTCTCGGCCTCACATGTGCTGTAGCCCTCTGCTGCCTCTTTCATCTGTGGAACGTGGTGTCATGGCACCTGTCTCCAGTATTCCGAGGTGTAGGCAGGTGTCAAGCTTGTGTGAAGCTTGTAGCAGAGGGCATTGCTACAGAGGAAGGCACATGGCTTGTTGCCACTCCTCTGAATGTTTCCTTTTTGCATTCACTTTGTATACATGATTCTCTGTCAGGTGATATGTCAGTTTATTTCAGTTTCTCAAGAGTAGGTGACAGTGAGACATCTGTCCTTGGGTGTCACCTGTACAATAACTCTTTTGGTTGTGGTCCTTAAACATTTGACAGCCCCATTTGCCCAAATACACCTATTAAATCCCTGGTCCAAGCAGAGGAATGGCTCTTAGGATTCACATTTGCAAAGGTTTGCTTATGAGCCTCTTATTAAATGTAGTGTCTGGGGCCAGGGATTTGTCTCAGTGGTTCTGCAGCCTGCCTTGCAAGTGCAAGGTCCCGAGTTTGATCCCCAGTACAAAAAAAAAAAAAAAAAAATGTGTGTGTGTGTGTGTGTGTGTATATAGTGTCTGATGTTTATGTATTAGTAAATGTTACCTTGAAAACATTTTTATCCATGTAATGAAAGTATTCTGGGATTTAAGAGACAGGAGAGAGCACTGGCAAACAGGATTTATTTTAGATGAATACCACCAGCTCAGCAGATGTTTGGTCTTTCTGGTGATGTAGCAAGTTAAGTTTACATGAAACAAGACAAGGACAGACAGTTTTTAATTTAGCCTTGAAGACAGAGCCTTGTGAATCTTGTGAAAACAAGATGACTTAAACTTTGTTTATAGGTTGTAGTTAACCAGTTTTATCTGTACCAGAACAAGGAGTTACAGCTACAGACAAGGGGAGGGCAGTCCAAGGGAGCAAGGGGGAGCTGCCCAAGCCTGGGAAAAACTTGTGTCCTTTAAGTCCTACTTCATTAGGAGAGGTTCTTTTGAAAAAGTAACCTCTTTCTCCCTTTAGACAACCTGTCTAAAACCCAGATGTGTGTATTCCTACATCAGAAAAAGAACATTGTGCAGATGTGTGTACATCTCACCGAGGACTTCTTGTTCTCTGCAGGTTGGGAACCCGCGTGTTGAACTCACCCTCTCAGAGCTCCAGGATATGGCAGCTAGGCAACAGCAGCAGATTGAAAATCAACAGCAGATACTGGTGGCCAAGGTAGGTTATAAGAGCACAGAGGTAAGGAAGAAGCATTGCTGAAAACAAGCGTTCAAGCCATGCATGTTGGCACATGCCTGCAGCCCCAGGAGGCTGGAAGAGGCCGGGCAGCATCACACACAGTGATGTCTCTCTGTCTGCTGATCCCTTCTGTAGCTTCATGATGTTGGGGAGGCATCAGGGCAAGAGCCTGATACCCCAGGACCACAGAGTTGCAGGCAACATTTGGAAAAGAGGATGCTCTCTCTCGTCACCTGTTTTCCTCCTAGTGTGTTGTTTGCTTTGGGGTTGGTGCTTGTGTCCTGGAGGGGACCACAGTCTGTGATGCCTCCTAGATAAGTGACAGCTGGTTGACAGGCTTCTAGGAGGGCCACTTTGGGCTGGATATGTGTCGTTTATTACAGTGCAGGGCACACTTGATGTTCACTCTGCATTGATTTCTACATTTGTGGTTAAAACTCTGTAGAGTAGGATTTGGGGCTTTTCTAAATCATGGTTTAGTCATATGTGATAGACTTAAGAAGTCAGACCCATTGCCCATGCCTACTAGAAACAATTCATGCTGTAAATGGTCTTAAAATGTTCTGAAACTGCTTAAAGAGAACCTTAAACTTTAGCAAGTTCTTTCTGCTTTCTTCTGGAAATTTCCTTACTGACCAAATGACCAGCCAGTTCAGTTTCTTCTGTTCATTGAATGACTATGCATTTCATTGGACTATCTGATTTTATGTAAATAATAATTTAAGTTGGACTTATTTTAAAAAGTCTCAAAGTTTATTGAGCTTACAAAAATAAAAACAATTATAGTTTATTTATTTATTTATTTTAGTGCCAGGGATCAATCTCAGGACCTTGCACTTGTGAGGCAGGCAGCGGAACCACTAAGCTAAATCCCTGGCACAAATTTTTTAAATTAAAAAGTATATCATCCTATTAGTAAGACTTCTAAGATGAAGTATACATACTATTAGGTAATTGTAAAATAATCTCTTTATTTCTTTTCCAAATATTGACCTAGGAATTTGCTGCTTCACAAAATTTTTAATATTTAAAGTAATATAAATTACAAGTTACAGTCTCAAATTTTGGTTATTTGAGCTTGATATGTGGTGATGCCTGCATACTCATACCTAAACCTCTCCTTATTTATGCATACATGTGGGAGAATAAATATTTAATGTCAACTTTTATCCTAAAGGTAACTGGGCTGGGGATTTGGCTCAGTGTTGCCATGCCTGCCTGGCAAGGGCAAGGTCCTGAGTTCTATCCCCAGTAACCCCAAAAAATCAAAACAGAACAAAACTACTGAAGGGTATTGCACTTTTTTTTTTTTTTTTTTTT